CATGCAGGCTCTTGTTTACTGCTGGTAATTATGCTGGTAACTATGTTAAAGTGTTTTGTAGTTGAGAACTTGCTCTGTTGAATGGTGGTACTGTGCTCCTCAGATGTGCGGCAGTTTCCATGCAAGCAAATAGGAGACGTTACTTCTGGAACAACTTTCATAAAACTGCTCTGAAAGTATGTTATCAAAAGACCATTCCAGGAGAAAGTAGAACAACCCCCCCTCCCACTTCCCTTTCTAACCCCACCTTTAATTTTCCTCCCCCACTGTGGCTGCATAGGAAAACCTTGAATACACCAACAGGCTCAGAATACTCTTTTGTACTTGGCAGCTGATTTAACACCAAATTGATGACTCATGACCAGTTGATGGTTTGTCCACCATGAAAGGAAACATCATAATGTCACTAGCTGATACTACAACTCAGTGAGGTTGTAGATGAAAAAGCAAACAGATCTTACATAAAGGCCTACAAAGCAGCCAACAGAAAGCTGACTACCCCAAACATTTCTGTAACTTACAGCAGTTAGCAGTGGTAGAGCTAGAGCTTCAGAAATTTGGTAGTTTTACTTGGACATTTGTCATGCCAAGCATGTTGTTGATAACCAGGAAATAAGGCAGAAGATAAACAGGAAGGAACTGAGACTGAAAATAGCTTTTTACTAATTTTCAGAACTTGTCTGCACATCAATTATCAGTGACATGGGTGCAAGCATTAACAGCCATAGCAACTTGCAGCCACACCAGTTTTTCATGATGTACAGGGCTGGTAATATGCACACTTACTCTTTTTGAGAAAACCTAGACGGAACCTGAGCAAAACAGCAAAATAAATAATGTAATAATTAAGTCTCCAAGTAAGAAATTACTGTGTAGCTTTGGAATTAATCCAGTGACAAATGAGTTTGAGTAGAATCCAAAAGGATATTTCAGCAAAAGCCACAAGCTCAATTGGTGAGAGCAAAGTCAGATATAGCAAGGTTGGTTACTTCTGAGTGACAGGCCCTAAAACAAGTTTTAGGGAAAACTAAAAACACACTGGACCACAGATAAACTAGAATCAAAAGGTAAGAGCTCTGTTTGTAGGCTGTGGAACAACTGAACTACAAACTAACATAGAAGCATCTTCTGTCTCTGTATTAAATCTAACCCAATCTCATCTCTAAGATCTGAAATCCTACTGCTTATATTTTTTTTTACCATTTGTCTATTGCACTCCAAAAAGTGCAAGTTACATAAACATTTGTGCAAATACATTACTGTATATTTTTATAAAGTGGTGCAAGCACTCTTATTTTATCTACAGCTTTCAAGCTGTTCCTGCTCTTGGACTCCCTCATTACATGTGAGAGAAGAAATGGCTGTGAATATCAGTTGTTTACATGGCTTCCTTTCTGGCAACTTAAGAAATGGGAGTTTCCCCATTCCTGATCATGCCAAACATACAGGCTGACATCAAAAACATTAGTAGCTGGGAACAACATTTAGGTGATAAATAGATCAGGACAAGTAGTCTCTCCTTAATGACTCAAAAGCAGCTGTACCTGACTCTTGAGCAGCAAGGAAAAAGGAGATAGAGGTGAAACGGTTATATGCTGACAGGATGAATAACCAAGAATGATGAGAAAAAAGTTAATATTTCTATTTTCACAAAACATCTGGTGATATGCCTTCCAATGGCATCACAGCTTTTTTTGATGCCTCCTCTTCTCCTAATGACCTAATGTTTGGATATGGCGAATATTTGAGGGTAATGTGCCACATATTTTGGACTTCCATTCCTCAGCTGAATGACTAATCTGTACGTTCTCACAACTAAACTGTTTGTGGGATGCCCTGCTGTTCATTATTTTCTATGCACCTTGAATCTGTTGGAGAAAAAGAAGGCTTCAAATGCATAAAAGCATGAAAATGGAAGGTACCTCTGCAGAACATCTGGTCCAATTCCTGCTCAGAGCAAGGTCTTGAGCTACAGCAGGTTGCTTGAGGCTTTGTGCAGTTCTGTTCTGAGTATCTCCAGAGACAAGAGAATTCACCAGTTTGATCTGGTTTAAGGTACTTTTTTCCTTCTCATATTCCAGTTTGTGCCACTGCCTCTCCCTCTGACACTGAACACCCATGAGTAAAGTTGATGATGTCTTCACTCCCCTCATGAGGTATTTATGCGCAGGTAAAATCCTCCTGAGCCTTCTTTTCTTCAGCCTGAACAGTTCCAGTTCTTTAGCCTCTTGTATATCAAATGCTCCAGTACCTTAACCACTTTAGTAGGCTGGCTTCTATGAAATATTGTATAATAAAGGACATTAGAGGCAAGTCCCAGCCATGGAACTTACCATTGCACATGTGAAAAACAATAAAAACTATGACCTTTTTAAAAAATCTCTGTATGAGATCTGACTTGCTATTGATTATGAATCAGTGAACATCTTTCTCTGCTCTTGCCTCCTTGGCCTCTTTCATCCTAACAAGAATATTAACTTATTTTATATCAGGCTTATAGTGAAGACTTACAATTCTCTTAAAGGTAAATATTTTAGAGACCTGTCCTGCAATACAAGGTTGTGCTGATTCTATGAAAGCTTAACTAAAACTCTGGTGAAGTGAACCAAAATAAATTTGTTTTTGAAGCATAATGACTTCTCCTCTGTTCACAGTACCACGGTCAGAGTACACATTTGCCGTGTAAGAATTTCACAAGCAATCCCAAATTACTTTTAAAGCTACAGCACAGAAGTACAGCTGAGTCAATGCTGAGCCCAAAGCATAAACATGCCCAACATAAACACTGTGTGTGTGCTGCTCATGTCCAGATAAGTTGTGCTTGCATCAGTTGATAAGAGTGACAGTCAGTTTACTTCCACTTTACTCCAATGGTGAGAATAGCACAAGAAGCAGTCTCCTCAAGCCCCGATCATGTAGTTACATGAATTTACTTCTTTGTTGCCATGAGGCTGCTTGTGGTATGTAATTTCTGATAGCTTGAACACTCTAGGCTGCATCTCTCATGGATCAACAGTGATTGTTTTCTTTTGAAACAGAAGAAAATCTGATTAACTTTTAGGACAAGGAGCAAAAAACACTGCCAGCCAAGCACGCAGTTCTTGACAGAACGTTCCTCCAAATGTTCTTCAGTCTATGAAAGGAGACCCTTCCCTAATTTTCTCCCATTTCTGTCTCCTCACGTGAGCAGCACTGGGCCAAGGCACCATGGCTGCCTTTTAGATAAGTGCCAGTAGCCCTGGGGGTAGCACTGCTTTCATTGCGTGCGGGAGCTGCTTTCCCCACCGAAATCTGTGGCCCCTCTGCTTAATTGTTATTACTGTTAGCAATACCTGCGGGGTGCAACCGCACCCGGTGACACAAGGCCACCCGAGGCCCCCTAACACCCATCGCTCCATCTCTGCACCCCAAAATCCCCCCATATCCGCACCCCGGGACACCTCGGCCAGGCCGGCGGCAGACCGAGGCCCGCCGGGCAGCATCACAACAAGGCCGGGCCGCGGGCCTGCACCGCGGGATAGCGGCCTTAGGGCGGGGGAGGCTCCGGTATGGAGGGGCCGGGCCGGGAGGGGGTCCCCGGGACGGCCGCTCCGCTCCGGGGGAGCACGCAGAGCCCCGAGCGGCGCTTGGCGGCCGAGCAGCGGCGGAGGCGGCGGCAGGAGGAGCCGCGGGGAGCCGAGCGCCGCCGCGCCGCGCCTCCCCCTCCCGCCGCCGCCGCCACCGCCGCCGCCACCCTTTCCCGCGCCGCACCCGGCACAGGCCCCGGTCCCGGCGGGCGGCTGGCCCGAGGCGGCGGGCAGCGGCGGCGGCGCGCTCCCTTCCGCCTTTTCCTGGGTCTCTCTCGGGCAGTGACGTGACGTGCTGACGGCGGGCCCGGCCCGGGGAGCTTGGCCGCTTCCACTCAGCTCCGAGCTCGGCCCCTCCCTCCCCTCCCGCCCGCCCGCCCCGCCGCAGCCGCCGCCGCGCTCGGCCCAGTCGCGCTGAGAGAGGCCGCGCCGAGCCGAGCGCCGCCGCCCGCCACCCGCACGGTAAGCAGCCCGGGAGCGGGCCCCGCCGCCCGGCCCGGCCCGGGCCTTCCCCTGCCCGCAGCAGGCCGCGGCGCAGGCCCCGAGGAGGCCGCAGGTAGGCCGCGCCAGGGCTCCGGCACCAGAGCGGGCCGCAGGGCTCGGGCCGGCGTTTTCCGCGCGCCCGGGACGGCTCTGGGCGGCGGGGACGGCGGCGGGAGGGGGGCGGGAGCGGAGGGGGGCGGTTGCGGGCCCGGGGGGAGGCGGGCGAGGTCGGTGCCAGGCCCCGGGCCCGGCCGAAGGGGGTTCGGAGAGTGTGTGGAGGAGGAGACAAAATGGCGGCGCGCGGGGGGGGGGTGGCGGAGGGCGCCGGGCGCCATCTTGAATTAATCGCTCGCCAGAGCCCGTGCCTAAGCGCAGCCCGGCCGGGCCGGAGGGGGGAGCCCCTGGTCCCGCTCTGCGCGGCGCCGGGCCGCGGGCTCCGCAGAGGGACGGCGTGCCCGCCCCGCCGCTCCCCCGCCTCTCCCTCCTCCCCGCTTGGCAGCCGGCGAGTCGCGGGGGAGCTCGGCGCTTTCCGGCCCGCGGTAGCTTCCTGCGCTGCGGCGCCGGGGCTGCTAGCCTGTCTCCCGCCTGCCCGCGGCCTGGGCCGGGCGGGTTTTTGCGCAGTCGGCGCGGCGGTGGGAGGTTTGCCCTCAGCGTCCTGCCCCGCCGCCAGCGAGGACCCAGGTGAGGAGGCGCAGTGTTCCCGGCCCTCTGGGCCCCCCCCTCGGTTGTGGCCTCTTCTCCTCCGAGCTGACCGACCCCTCTGCTGCAGAGGGCTCCAGCACAGTGGAAAGTAGTTATATCTTTAATGTAGGTTTTGTTGAGCGTTAGCTTAGGTGTCGCCTGGTGCTCAACACCTCTGTGAAATCTGGAGAAGGCCTCTTTTGTAACCAGTTTCTGCAAATACTCACACCCCTGAACTACAACAAAGAGAAAAAGACTTATTTTTTTGTTTTGTTGTTGTTGTTTTTTTTTTTACCGTACCACAATGAAAACAGCAGTGCTGATTCTCCTGCCAAAACTGAAGGAGATGCATAAAGAAATAAACAGCAAAATGATTACACTGTCACCTTTGTAACATTGTTTTTATTCCATTTATTCACCTAGTAATGGTGGGGGTTATATCCAAGATAAGGATTAGGTGCTGCAAGGAGTCTTCATTTTTAACCTTTCGTGTGTGTGATTGAGAGCATGTGTGCACATGGCATTCTCTGTAAATGGGTCACGTAGGGAGAGTTATGACACTGTAGCAGTGGTGTAGGCTGAACCCATGGTGGTCTCATGCCACCACGAAGCTTCAGACGGCTCAGGGCTCCGATCCAATTGGAACGTATGAGGCATGCTGTTTTTTTAATGTGATGTAGCAAGGCATGATGGGGACATGGTTGTGGTTGTACTCAAGTATTTTTAGTGTGGGCTGGGGCTATTGGACAAGAATGGGAAATTTTGCTGTTCTTTGCTTTATTCTAGGATGAGAGTTTCACTGTGTGGTATTTGGTTCTTTTTGCCTCTCATCCTGGATGAACAGATAAACTGTTCTTTCCTTAGAAGTACACAAAAGAGTAGTTTGTGTATTTCTTTATCCTAAGGATGGCTTTTCCAAGGTCTCCCTTCTTTTTTTTTTTTTTTTTTCCTTCCCCAATCCCTCTTTTTTAGCTCAAATACTGACCACTTCTGTTGCATATAGAGTTATTTCCTTTTAAGTAACTTTATTTTTAAAGTTGCCCTCTCTTGACAGCTTGGTCATTTTTTCTTAGTTCATCTTGATTACCTTGCTAGGCCTATTAAGTCAAGGATTTGTTTGTGGCAGAACTATTTCATGGAACTATTTCATATCTGCATTGCTTTTCTTGACTGACTGTATTCAGGAGGAGTTTTATGGAAAAGGCCGTGTTTTGTTTGCAGAGTTTACTTTATTGCTTATAGCTTAATAGTATTCATTCCACAAATATGTGTATGACTGTTTGTCCTTTCACTTGAGAATACTGCCTTAATATTCATAAAACCAAAATCAGGCAAGTCTCTGAATAAACACATAAAAGTCATTTTGTAAGAACTGCCTTTACAGGTCGAATTAGGAGTTTTTTAGGGTTGTATTAGTTCTAAATCTACATAACAGTAGACCCAAAACAAGTAAAAGATGTATGTGTTTAGTTCTTTGTAGGGATGGAAACCCATTGCTAAGTTACCTGAGCTTTTCCCATTCTAGTTAGAAAAGCAGTTCCCAAATTACTGGGCTTTGAGCAAAGAACCATATAGATTCAGCCACTGAGGACAAAGTGTTCTCTTTCTGGGCACCTGCTTCTCTTCAAGAGTTTTGGTTCCCAAACCAGAACTGGAAATGCTTCTGTCTGCTTCATTGCCAGAACCTGCTCCTGAGGTAAGTGTTGTTGGAATATTTTGAAGAGCTGAGAGGAGTTTCTGCCCTTCTTGAAACCTTGCAGGACGAACTGCTGGAATTGCTTCTTAGCCTGAAGATAGAGTTTAGGGCAATTACCAAGGAATGTGAAGGTATTTTGGTGTGGTGCTCTCAGTGAGGCACTTTGATGTTTCTCATGTCACAGAAGAATGGTCTCACCACAGAGCTGCCACTGGGTGCAGAACCACTGGGCATACCTTCCTTTGTGTGGTGAACCTAGGAGCACTGTGCTGGTCCACTGATCAGATGAAGAGCAAACAGGAAGAAATGCAGCATTTTTTCATCTGCTGCTTAGAAAGTTCAAACCCTGAAATGGTTTCGGGATATTTTTAGGGATTTTTTTTTTTTCATCCATGGACAAATGCCTGGATGCCTTTTGGACTGCAGATTTCGAATTAGGCGCCTTTAATATTTAAACAGTTTACTTAAATCCTGTTTCAGATGCCTGACTTCTTTACCCACAGCACGCATTTCTGTGTACGAGTGGAGTCTGTGCCCTACTGGAGCATTTTTGAGGCCTCTAAGGCCCTGCAAAGGTGTAGGAATTTGCATACATGGATTTGTTGGCTGGATCTGGGTACAGAGTTCATTGTGGAAAACCTTATGTAGGAAGAAATTCAGATAAAATGCTTTATTTATTTATTTATTTATTTTCTTCTTTGGATACCGAAGCATAAATCTGTGTCCTTGTAAAGACTGAGTCTTGAAAACTCAGTTGCCTGGGAAGCTTCTCCAGTCAGTTTGTGTAGAACATTAGCCTTCATTTTGCAGAATGTCGTGCCTCTGTAGGTATAAAGAGCTGGCTAATACAGAAGAGGCCGCGCTGGTACGCAGAGTATGCAATTGAGGGTTTACTGGGCTGTCAGCACAGGTGGCTGTGTCTTTGCAAAATTGCATCATCATGAACACCACAGAAACTTGCTGGCTTTAGCAGATATCACTGGGGATTTGGGCAGCAGGGGTGAAAAAATGGTGTCAGTGGAGAAATGTTGTTGGTGGGTTTGCTCTGGAAGCTGGGATATGGTGGTTGTCTCTGAGTCCCACATGCGAGAGGACAGACAATTGGAAGATGGAGAGCCTCACAGAGACAGTGAAGAATTTGAGGAAAGGACAGGATAGAGAAAGCAGGAGTACATGAAGAATCGTAAGCAGTGGGAATTTGCGGTTGTGTGGTGGTCAGGTGGGTGGCGAAAGCAGGAAATAGAGAAAACTAATGCCAGTTCCTCCAGTGGTTGGAGGTGAACTGACACTTCAAGCTCATCGGGTTCCAGTTGATCTGAGGCCAGTACGTATGGTAATAAAGCCCTCACAAGCATAGTCATAAACAGTGTCTTGGCTTTTCTCCGAAACCTGGACAGTGAGCACTAGCTTCTGATGGGCCTCATCAGAGGAGGGAGGCCGTGAGTTTCCAACCCTTAATGACTCTGCCTCCTCCCCAGAAAATCTCCAGAAAGCTGATACACAATTTTGCTACAAATTTATGGGTAGCGTGGTTTTGTGTAAGTTATGGGAGTGTACTGTGGTTGTAAACTGGGAAGATTAAATGAGCAAATGAGCAAGTAATGGGCATCGAAAGTGCTGAGATGCTAGAAGTTAGAGAAGAGTTCACCAAGAACTAAGAACTGAAAATAACACTGAAGATGACAGCATGTTTAGGAGAGATTTGTAATGAGTTGGATGTTTGTATTCTGATGGAAGTATACAAATTTGGGCAGGAATAAATCTTTAGTAATGATTGCATGAAACTTGTTTCTTCTCTGTTCTTGTTTCTCTGGCCTAGCAGAAGTTGATCACATCAGTCGAGGAATATTTTGAAACAGATTAAGTGTTTGCTACAAATGACTGTTGCAACTTTGTGTTTTTATCCCCATAAAGACTTATGTAAATGTTAGTTGACATTATTTTGAAAAGATGATGTTTCTTATGGAAACCTTGGGCAAAATCGTAATGGTTTTTTTGTAAGCCGATTGTGAAGGTAGCAGTGAAGCTGGGAGATTCCCAGCGCTGAAAAATGGCTGGTGGGTAGGAGAACTGCTGAAGTCTGTGTTGTCCACTTGTACAGAAAACATTAGGCAGCATTCTCTGCTGCCTCTTGCTGGTTCAGTATTTATGAAGCTAGTTGTCTTTAAGTGCAAGTTTACATTAGATCTTGTTTTACCCAACTAGGTTTGCCTTATCCTGATAACAGTGCTTATATGTAAAGAAAAAAATACGGAGTGGGGTTTTGAATCTAGTTAGCATTTTGACTTTGTAGTACTGATTGGCTTTTTTGGTAAGAGTGAAAGTGTTACGTGTTGAAGAAGAGTTGACGTTCTGTTGACAGACTTTGACTTTTGGCAATTTTTGAGAACTGGTGATATTTTAAATATAAAAGCAAATTGGTACATTGTCATGTGGCAGGTGTATTCTAAATATTCACACATCTGAAGTTTGAAAACTCATGGTATTATACTCTGGAAGCAGTTTACATTGTTGATTTCATTCCTGAAATGGACTGAGAGTAACTTTCTCTTGGCTGTTGTGTACTCGTTTCAGTATATGAACAGGGATGCACCAGAAGTGAAGTGTTTCAAATTGCTAGCTGCCTACCTTTAACTTCATCTTCTTCACCTTTCTTGATTTGAGAACACTGTATCCCCTGCCGCCCCCCAAAAAAAGTTGAATGTGAACTTGCTTAGGCTTTGACTTTTTGTTGTTGTTGTTCCCCATGTAAGACAATAAGGAAATCATGTTTCCATATCACTTTATTACAGCTTTTTCTATTCTGTATTTCTGGGTTTTTGACAAGTGGCCTGGGATAGTCAAGAGATTGGCCTCCTCATACTGAGTCGTGAGTGTTTGGTGTTCTGGAGCAGTAGTTGTTGAATCTAAGTGGATGTACTCCGAATGATACTTAGGCTGTCTTCAGGCCAAGAGATGTTCTCTGTTCAATTTCATATGCCCAAATTTCAGCTTTTTCTGTGATGAATATTGCACAGGCAGAGGCAACCTTCTTAGCATAATACTTATAACTTAAATAACCTTTCTTCTTTACCTTCTACAGACACTGTGACTGATGAGAGTTAAAGGCCATGGATGAAGATGGGCTTGAATTGCAGCCACATGAGCCAAATGCATTTTTTGATCCAACAGGTCTGTCAGAAGATAATACATAAATAAGAATGTACACATCAGATGCTATTAACTGCTTTTAGTTCATGTTGTCTTTGCTTAAAGGTTCTATGCTTCATCAATGCTTTTGTAAAGAGTCATCACATCAGATTTTCATCAGCTTTTGTTACTCAAAGCAGTACAAATGAGCTACTCTTCTGTGAAGTAATAGCTATTTGGATTGGGGGAGATCCTAAAATCTGGTAACCTTTTGTTCATCATGTTGTTCATCTTAGTCATGTTACCATCTATTGAGGATTTGCTTTAACAGCTCCTGTATATCTGTCTGCCTGTTTTAATTGCTTATGAGCTATTACGATGGTTTTACTAGATGACTGCATAGTGTAAAAGCTGAAACAAAATAGAAGCAATTTCAATATTAACCACTTCATCTGAGTTAGTTTTATGATGTAAATGTTATTTTAATTGTATTTTTCAGGAGCTGATGCCACACATATGGATGGAGATCAGATTGTTGTGGAAGTACAGGAAACAGTATTTGTTTCAGATGTAGTCGACTCAGATATAACTGTGCATAACTTTGTTCCTGACGATCCAGATTCTGTAGTAATCCAAGATGTCATTGAGGATGTTGTTATTGAGGATGTTCAGTGCCCAGATATTATGGAGGAGCCAGACGTATCTGAAACTGTCATTATTCCTGAACAAGTGCTGGACACAGACGTGGCTGAAGAGGTTTCTTTGGCTCATTGCACTGTCCCAGATGATGTTTTGGCTTCAGACATAACAGCAGAAGCAATGTCTATACCAGAACATGTACTGACGAGTGAGTCAATGCATGTACCTGAAGTTGGACATGTAGAACATGTAGTTCATGATAATGTTGAAGAAGCAGATATTGTCACTGATACTTTGGGAACAGATGTTGTTTCTGAAGAAGTCTTGGTGGCAGACTGCGCATCGGAAGCAGTGATCGACGCCAATGGGATCCCTGTGGAACATCAAGATGAGAAGGGCAACTGTGAAGATTACCTGATGATTTCTCGTAAGTGTCTGGGTAAAGCCATCAAAATTTTTATGATATGGGCTTGGGTGATGCTCAAAATATCTGAATGAAGGCTTACAACAGAACCAAAACCAGATTTTCTGTATTATTTAACAAAATGCAGGTCTCTCTAATATGCTTAAATTGAGGTATTCTTAGGAGTGCATACCAGCTAAAACTTCTGGTGAAATTGATGGAGAGAACTACTGGCAAATGGATGACTGATTATAGATATGAACAGTAGAGTAAGAATTCCAGTAAACTGTATGCCATATACTTAGTAAGAAGTGAAAGAAAATAAATGTGACATTGCTTGGACAACCGTTTATGTACCGGTTACTAAGATTACTGCCAAGTCAATAAGAAAACCTAAAACTTATTTAACGGAAAAGAGAAAGTCAGAAAGGTGATTCTTAGAAGCTTGAAACAACAATTTATCCTTGTCTTTTTTTTTCTCTTTTATTTCTGTGAAGACCTCTCCTTCCACACCATTTACAGTTAGATACAAACAACAGTGTATTTTGCTTTGCTTTTTTAGGATGTGGACTTTTCTTTATTAAGCAAGGGACAGAGGTGTGCTGCTAATTAAAAGAGCTCATAGCTGAGAAGCAGTTGTGAATATCTTAGTCTTTGGTAGAGCAGTAGCATGATCCATTGGATTCACATTTCAGAAGGCTTAGAAAGTGGTCAAACACAGCGTATTATCAGTCTTTTTTCTACTGAGGATATTCATTAGTGTGGAGTATAGCCTATTCTAAGTATGTTACCTGTTGCAGTGTTTGCTTAGTGCAGCACCTAGGAACATCAAAGTGTCACTACTGAATGTGTTCTTCATAGAAATAGGAAAGCTTTGTTATGCTGATACACTTAATTGCAACTCCAGGCATTTCACTTTTGTCCAGCATTCAATAACTCTGTTGATGAGGCATGCTGTTTGCTCTTTTTCAGTTAACTTTTTTTTTTTTTTTTTTCTTGTTTTTGTTTTGCTTTGGGTACTTCCTTTGACATGTATGATAATTTGTTTTAATTTTATATTCTGTGCTTTCGGATTTTAATGTTGCTTCTCCTTACCTAGGATCACTGCATTTCTTAATTTATCATCTCTTGAGTTCCTTGAGTAACCTTGTGCAGCCATGTTTTGAGTTATAATGAGGTACAGTTAATTCTCTATTATCTGGGAAAACAATGAAATGGGATAATGCAATATATGGATAACACAAAATATTGTAAAATTAAGCTGCAGGAACATATCGAAGTGGGGAGAGGAGGGGTCAGGAATGCTGCTCCCTGAAACATTGTGTATCCAAGCTGATAAATGCTATAGATTGAAATCTATATGCAGTATGCTGCATGTAGAGCTTTCCAGTTCTGGTCCCCACTTAGGTCAGATGAAATTAAGCTTAAATGCTTCTGCACATGCAGCATAGTTAGGCAGCAAAGTGGATAACCCACTCATGGAATTGAGACCTGACTGTAAGGGCCTTGCTAGTGATAGTTACGTGTTTTGTATCCTCTAGTTCTTCCAAATGCTGTCTCACCTTCTCTGCTCACCCTTCCCCTACAGCTTTGAGAGCTGTGAAACCTCTGAGACTGCAAACACAGGAACACTTGGCATACCATTGTCTGCATTCATTTAAGGGGGAGGGGTGGATAGAGAAGTCTCCCATTCAGCCGTTTCTGGTGTAGCGCCGTAAAGGGTTGATGGTAGAGGGATGAGGACAGAAAGTATTTCTTGATGCCATGTGGTGTGATCCCTAAAATACCCAGCTAGCAGGGAAGCTTGTTAGATACAGGTGTCATCAGCAGCTTGTACCAGACAGAAAACAGGAATCTGATTGTTTTGCTGAGATAGTCTCCATTTTCACATGTTTCTCCATATGTATTTCTATGCTTTGATACTCTATTTAGCATTAAACTCCTCTTTAGGGTCTTGCAAAGTAATTTCTTTAGATTCGGAACCAGGCAGCATTTAAAACGTTTGTTTTTGTTACCAAACACGTATCTTCTGTATTTGTGTTTAAAATGTTAAATATGTACTACTGCTCATTTTAAAGGGAAGTTCCCTATTACCATCTACTGTGTTTAAAGCCTGCATAACAAGTTCTTCTGGTTGCAGAGTCAGAGGCTAGTGCTTTCCCGTCAAGTAAAGGCAATCTTTCCAAATAGTCTCTTGGCTGTGTGGAAAACATTATCTGAATTCATTTCCTTTTTTTTTCTTTTTGCATCAGCAGTTGTGTGTGTTTATTGATCTTTTCTGATGACTGTCTCAGTTCTTCAGCTGTAGGTGGTTTTTAAAAGGAAGTAAAATCAACTCTGGTTTTTATTTATTCATCTTAACCTGTAAGCTCATGCTTGATTTTGGCAAACCTCCTTGAGCTGCTGGGGTGGATGCTGGAATATCGTTTTGTCGGCCATTACAACAGCCAAATGCAGCTGCTTCCCAGAGCTAGGAGGCAAACGTTAGGGATGGTTTTGTCCATATTCTTTTATCCAGCTGCTTGTGAAGCAGGTGGGGACACTTTGGGTTCTTTCTGTCGCCATAGGTTTCTCAGTCTGTGTTCCTGACAGAAGATCACAGACCAAACCTTTTTGCTGTCTTTTTCCTATCTTTTGGCTTTCTTGAAATGTTTGTGTTCTTGTTCCTAATGAACTGAGCCTGCACAATTTTTTTTTTTTTCAAATAAGATAATTTCTTCACTTTTATCCTGAAAATACTGGTTTCAGAATGACTAATGTGCATGTACTTCAGTGTTTGTGTTTCTGCCTTCTTTTTTGGTTTCACGCTTTTTGGCATCTTAAGTGAGTGTAGTCCCTGTGGATTCCATTGTGTGACTTTCTTTCAATAAAACTAAGTTTTTCTTTACCTCCAGGATGATGTTCTTTGGCACAGCTTCTATTATCACTTGCTGATTGATATATGCACCTTTTTTTCTTGGATACTTTGCCCTCAAGCCTCCTTTTTTGGTCTGCAGTAGATTTGGGACACAGGAGGGCTGAGTCAGGTATATGCTCATTCATCAGAGAATGCAAACTGCTACTAATTAGTTGCTTGAAAAAGATTCAGGGAGGTTTGATAAATCAGTTATTTCACGTAAGGCTTAACAAGTCAGTTCATAGGGATTGCCCATAAAGTTTGATCAGGAAAGGATAAATTGTGTTCTGACTCACATCAATCCGCCTTGTTTGGTAGTGATTCTCTGAGGGCCTGTAAAATCATCTCTCCCCATGTAAAACAGTAATGCTGAGATAGGTGGTAGTTAGCAAAACCAAAAACAAACAAACAAAAACCAGCACTTGCTGACAAAGGAGAGTTGTACTGTATTAAAGAAACTAAGGTTTTTGCTTGTTTGATTTTATTTATTTGTTTTTAACAGTTTGGCAAAGTAAGAGGCTTGAACTAGTTCCAAAAGAGAAGGAAATTGTACTCTGGTATTCTTGTATTTAATTGCAATAAAAACAGCAAGGCACCAAGTGGCTTTGGTCAGAGGAGTGTAGGTAGAGGGAAGGGTCACCTTGCAAATTTAAGTTGGACTTTTATAAAGTTAAGTGATGTATCCAAATGCAGAGAATTTGTCCTTTGACCGAGTTAGATGCATCTTTGCATGCTGTATCTAACCAACTAATGCGTTTCACCACAGGAGTCAGAGTCCAGGGTACTCAAAGAGATGCAGTAATGACTGTGACTTTATGTAGATTTAGGGGAAGCACATCTGTTCTCATCCATGAATAACATGCCTAGGTTGAAAGGAATGGATCTTGTACACAAAGCCATAATGTTCATGCCTTCACTGCTGCCATACTGTGGTTGACTTCTAGTTGACTTCTGCCATACAGCAGACTTCTAATCAAGAAAACAAAATGTTTTAGTTTGCTTTTCTGGTGTAACTAGTGTAAATCCCTTCTCCTCACCTTTTTTTCCCTTGAGGCTCTTAAAGATTCAGGAAATCCTTTGTTTTCCTGCAAGGCAGAACTTGTTGCCATGTGTTCTGCTCGGCCTTCAGAAGGGCTCCAGCAGTTGTTGCAGATGGGCTGCTCGGGAGGTCACCGTGAGAGGGAGGGAGAGTTCCCTCTGCTGCCTCTGAGCTCTCTGTTTTGTGGTCTGGGGAGAAGAACCAGAAGGGTGAGTGAGAGTTAGATGCTACGGAAATGCTCCTTGATTGCTGCCCTGAGGGGAGCATCAGACTCTTAAGGGTATGCTGTTGCTCATGTGTAATGGGAAGGCATTGAAATGAAAATAGAGCAGATTTCTCTTTTCCCACAGGTTAGGAAACCTACTTTGCCATTAAAGAAATAACTGGATGGTAAAAATAACTGAAGTGGGCTAGGAATTCTTTGTTATCAAGCGAGGTACAAGTGAAATGTTTGTACTGCGGATAACTGAGCACTCTGTCTGGGGAATGCAGGGTGCTTTTAATTATTTCAGTAAAAGCAAGAGAGTAAACTGTGTCCTTTGTCATTAAGAAGAGGTAAATAGGGTAGTTTCTTTTGTGTATTGGAATATCACTACTCTTATTTTTCTCGCATGTGATTTAAGTTTAATAACAACCCATTGTGTATACTTGAAAAGTAGTGGTCTCTTTATAAGTTAAACTGATGATTTTAAGGTTGGTCAGATTGGCTTTTTTTGTGTGTTTTGTAATTTCAAGGAGGAAGATGTGTGGGATCCTTTAATGGACTGTGAGTTTGAATGAAAACTGTGAACATCATGGGAGCTTCAGTTTCTAACTTTGATCAGTGAAGTAGTTATGAATATGAATATTTTTTTCTGATTGTGTAACTGAGATATTTGGCAAATGTAGAAATGTAAGGAAAGTGTTAAATAGAAATCAAATTTCATAACTGCTACCAGAGGGTTAAAGAATCTGTATAGATAAATGCTGATGCATATCCATAGGACAAAATATTGTGAAAGTGGTGCTTTGTGTGATAGATACCCCTTCTCTTTTGCTTTATTTCTCTCTTCCTATCTTCTATTCCATGCTATTCTATTTTCTTTCCATGCTCCTTTTCTTCATGCTTCCTGTTACTATCCTGCAAATACTATTACTTTTTCGGGTCCTTCAAGGACTTAGTTTTTCACTTCTTACCATCTGTCGGAGTGATCATTTTTTTTCCCTTTTGTATGAGAAAAGTTGGCATAGTACTTCTACAGATCAATTTCATTACATTTGAGAGGTGCTGTTAAACAGTTCTTCGATTGAGAGAGTGAGAAATGTTCAGCGTGGAGAAGATTGAGGGGATCTTATCAATGCTTATCGATATCTGAAGGGCAGATGTCAAGAGGGTGAGGGCGAGGTTTTTTTCAGTGGTGCCTAATGACAGTACAAGGGGCAGTGGGCACAAACTGGAATGCACAAAGGTCCACCTGAACATGAGGAAGATCTTCCTTAATGTGAGAGTGGCAGAGCACTGGAGCAGGCTGCCCAGGAAGGTGGTGGAGTCTCCTCTAGAGGTGCTCCAGTGCTGCCAGTAAACTTTTCTCTGCAACCTGTCATAGGGAGTCTGCTTTAGCAGAAGGCTGCACTAGGTGATCTCTAGAGGTCCCTTCCAACCCACACGGTTCTGTGCTTTTAAAAATACTGTTGAGTATGGACCGAAGTCAGGGATAAACAAATTAGAAATTGTGTAGGGAACTTTATTTTAATCACATCATTTAAACATGCTTTTGAACCTTGGAGAATTTACTTCAAAGAATAAACAGAGTGTATTTTTAAGGTCCAGAATTCTTCTGTTGTGTAAATATTATCAGTAGATATTTCTATATGTATTCTGTTTTTTGTTGAAAGAAACCAACCTGTTCCATACAGTGCATGTAGGTTTTTCTCTTTAATTGCTTCAGCATAATTTTCCTTCCTCGATGTTCCAGCATCAGTTGAACTTGGTGGCAGACTTCCCCTTTGGCTTCAGCGGTGTAAAATCAGTCTACGCTGATTTGAAAGCCTTCCAAGTACACATGTGTGACACTGGTAACAGCCAAGTTAAAGGAGAGCAACTACACTTATCTAGTAGGGACAAAAGCAAGTCTTTTTGTCAGAGTTGCAGTGAAATTTGGTGTTTGATGCGTATACCGAAGAACTGATAGAAGTCCACTCAATAACAGCGCGTGTAACTGGAGAGCTACACTGTTAATGTGATTCAAATCAACAATTAAAGGTTTTTACTTCTGAAATGCTTTGGGGTTCAGCTGAAGGACATTAAGTAGTCCCTTGCTATCATTTTTTTAAAATACTGTGCTCCTTGACAGGAACTGTAGAACTGTCACAGATTCTGAACTTGGAATAAGAGTATTAAGAATTTTTTCTGCTGCTGTTCTTGTGAGGGGAGAGAGAGAAGCTAATTTATTTTAGTGCTCATTAATACATTTAACTTTATTCATATTTCTTTTTGAATAATGGTGCCATGTTGAGAAGATGTGCAGTCACTGAGTAGTAAAGTTGCGCTGTAGTTATGAGGGTAGTTTTGTGAGTGCCAGTGAAATGAGCACACTGTATTAAAAGTTCTTATGTGCTAAGCATGGTAGCTAAAAATGCTGCAGCAGTTACTGTTCTTATGCATCTTGTTAGTGTACGTCTTATACCTTCATGTTATGAATCAAAGCTACACTCAGCCTCTGAGGGAGCCGGATCTGCCTTTAAATGTAGTTAACAGTGAACTCACCAATTTCCAAGGCATGTTGTCACATGAAGAATTCTTAAATAATCTTAACGCTGTGAGAAAGTTGTGGAGCTTTTGGAACTGGAAGATCGTGTAGAGGTTTTGAAATACTAGATTGGATTTTGCTAGTGCATAGTTAGCATTTTTTTTCTTGAATGCCCATGCTCAGTAAAGTAAGATGGTGTGTGTGTGCATGTGCCCGTGTAGAGTGTGTCTTAAAATCAGAAATATGTTCCTTAGAAAACTGGCTGCTTGCCATGTTTGTGTGGGAGGCCCAGGCAAGTTATGGCAGTTCATGCTGGAGCTGAGTGTCAGCTCACTTCTGGGAGGGAGAAAAGAAAATTTGAGATGATAGTCAGGAGAGTTTGTAGGACCGCGGTATAAAATCCAGTGCAGGTCCCCTCTGGTCACGGTGCTGTGAGTTGGATAGGTGCTGCTTTGAAACTGTGAGTGGCTGAGAAAAGGTGCAGCAGAAAAAGTGTTAATAACACCGCCTTGCAAGAAACCAGACTGAACTGGCAGAAATAGTGCCACTTACATTAGAGGGAGTTGAGCAGCAGATAATGCTTTGGAAAATAACTGGTTAACAGCTTATTAGATGCGAAAGGGAAAGCAGCTGAAACTGAGAATACGTAAAATTACACCACAGAGTAAGTACTAATGTGCTGTTCCTTGCTACCACCATCTTGCTGCAGATTACCATTTCCCTAGTAGTGTTGCCAGGTGTGGTGCTCGTGCTTCTAGGCATGCAACACACTTGCACTTTCCCCTTAACTGGAAGACGTGGTTTGAATTTATTTGCTTACTGACATTGATTTCAAGGATATGAAAAAGAATTATGTACGGGTAGGTTATTTTTCACAATGTAATTTTAAACCGCTTCCAAATTTGAGAAATAAAATTTTTCATAAATCTGTCTGTATATGGCTGGATAATTTTAATAACTTGTTTTTGTAGTGGATGATGCTGGTAAGATAGAACATGAAGGTTCTGCTGAAATTACCATGGAAGCAGAGTCAGAAAGTGGATCTTGTAAAGTGGATGGCATTTGTCCAGAAGTCATCAAGGTCTATATATTCAAAGCAGACCCTGGAGAAGATGATTTAGGTAAAAAATGCTCATTTTAGAATACTCCAACCTGACATGTGAAATTTTGCATAATTAGAGACGATGATTTCTCTCAAGTCAGCTGTAAGGAGCTGTGGGTCTAAATGTGAAAGAGTTGCAAACTTTCAGTTTTCTGCAGTTTAGAATAGAACTTGAACAAAACGTATTAAAATATTTTGTCCTGGTCTTCCTAATTAGGGGGCACAGTAGACGTTGTGGAAAGCGAGCCAGAAAATGATCATGCAGTTGGCTTACTTGATCAAAATAGCAGTATTCGTATTCCAAGGGAGAAAATGGTTTACATGACCGTAAATGATTCTCAGCACGAAGACGAAGATTTAAGTAAGTAGGTGGCTTTCATTTGGGAACAGGGATTTTCACTTTTAGCAGTGCAGTTCTTATTAATTTTTTTCTTGATTTCTGTTTCTCTTAGATGTTGCAGAAATAGCCGATGAGGTTTATATGGAAGTGATAGTAGGAGAGGAAGATGCAGCAGTCGCCCATGAACAGCAAATTGATGACAATGAGATTAAAACTTTCATGCCAATAGCATGGGCAGCAGCTTATGGTAAGTAATATTCACAGAATTCTTCCTTGTGACACTACGAGAAAATACTGGGTTGGTTTTTGGAGGGCAGTGGAGTGTCTGTGCTTTTGTGCTTGTTTTAGTCTAAGAATTGTTTCTGAACGTAATGAGGCTTAAAATTAAAAAGAGAAGAAGAGAGAAGCTGTAAAACAGGCTTCTTTCTGTTCCTGTTTTATCAGACCTTTTCCTTCATGTTGTCATGATGTGGAAGGGGAAGTGCACAACCTTTCAGTTGAAAAATTGCATCTCAAGTACACTTGTCTTTCACAGTTTTAGTATACATTGATGGGGAATAGGACTCTGAGTATTTTTATTTGGGAAAGAAAAAAGCAGATGGGAATATGTAGGATTCAGTGTAACTGTGAATAGCATTCCTGGCCTCTAGCTTGGTTTAAGTGTTTTCTGGAAGGAACATATGAATATGTGATTTCACAAATGGAAATAACTAATTAACAAAAAAGATGCTGGAGGGACACATCTTAAAATTATAACAGAACCTTGAGAATATTTATTGAACATTAGTATCTGAGCACCAGCTGGTGCTTAAACTGATTTCCAAAACTTACATAGGCTATTAGAGCAAAATCTCATCTTAGAAATTTTTCTTTATTGCTCTCATTCTCCTCCTGAACGTACTTTGAGTAAACAAAGCAGAAGAAATAGTAGAGTTGAGGACAAAACTTAGATTATGTGTCTGCATGGTATGAATTTTGGTGATAGTGTCAGTAAGCTACTGACAGGGAAGTGCTAAGAATGCAAAACGGGGCTGAAATTGTGGATGTAAGTCAAGTGAGGGCAAGATTTCAGGGAGCAGTGTGTGGTGAAAAGTGCTTAGGAGGTGGATGGTAATGCACCCAGAGCCTTACCTTTGGCTGAATGTTGTTGAGCGTAGTTTCAGTGCAGAGGAAAGGATGGAAGTCAGGCTGAGTGGGAATTCAAAATGAAATGAAGTGAACTCGAAAACAGTTGTAGAAAGAATGTTCAGTGATTGTGGAGAAGGAGGATAAGGTTGAGCAGACTGCTAAGAACACAGAGAAAGAATTTAAAGTGGAGTTATGAACATAGGAAACAGTAGAGCGATTGTGTCATCAGCAGCAAGCAACCTAATGTGCAACTTGAGAGGTGGTGGATAAGGGAAGAAATAATGAAGCATGAAGGCATTAGAATGGCTGAGGTTTGTCATTTGCATTTCGCAGAGCTCTTCTCCACTTCAAGAGGTATTAAAAGCTGACGACAAATGGGATCTTACAATGGCAAACCTGTTTCATTGCTGTATCATAGCAAAGCACCATTCTTCTATGTATTATATTCCAAAAGCTCTATGCTTTTACTCTAGTATAAGAAAATGTTTAAGGCTTTCTTTTTTGTGTGTTACCATCTAGAAGGACACTTCATACACCTATTGCAAATTGTACTATCTGTGTGTAAGATGTGAAACTTTTATTTTCAACATTTACATCCCTTGCCATGTTTGCTGTTCACCAGTTGGGCTAGCAGATCAGAATCTTCAGGCTCTGCCCATGGCTGTTACTGGTTCTATTTCTTTTTGCATTCAGGCATGAATGTTCATTCACAGCACTCTACAAAGAGAACAGCTACTGAGCATCTTACGCTGTCTCCCACTTTAGTCTTTCTGTCTTGTGTGCATGCTATTCTTATAAACACAAAGCTCTGTGAGGCAAAGGTTGTTTTCTCTGTGTTACATATGCTCTCTGTTTCCAGTAGGAATAGTTTGTGTTAAAATAGAGGTGTGCAAAGAGCGTGTATTGTACTTCACGTGTCAGTTTATGGGCTGTTCAGAATAATTGACTGATCACAGTTCCTGTTTTGAAACTTACTTTGGGAACTTCAGTGAGGTGAATTCAGATGCCCCAAAGTGAATGAGAGCAGATGTGGATGTATTTCAGGGCTGCTGAAGACCATCAGGCACAGTAAACATTCTGACCTGTTTTTGTTTACTGATATTAAACATCTGGGGTGTAATTAGTAGCCAAAGAAATGCAAAAAAATGTGCACTTAAACTCTTTATGAAATGGAAAGCCATTTATTCCTGTAAATTGTGTACTCCTGTAAAATTAGTTTTATGGAGCCAGGGCTTCCAGGTTGACATCATAGTACCAAGAATAGTTCATCAGTTACATACAAAGCATTTTTTTAACTCATCCTGTATGTTAGGATGCTTTTAATTAAATGTCAAAACAATAGCTTATCTTCTTTTTTTTTTTTTTTTAAGTATCATTATAGATTTTGTTGCTCAAATAATCTGTGGTGTGGTGACAGGAGGTAACTTTTAAACTTGCTTTGTTAGGTAATAATAACGATGGCATTGAAAGTCGGAATGGCACTGCAAGTGCTCTTTTGCACATAGATGAGTCAGCGGGACTTGGGAGACTGGCAAAGCAAAAACCAAAGAAGAAAAGGAGACCTGAGTCCAGGCAGTATCAAACAGGTAGGTCGTGGCTGTCTGCGTGCTTGCCTGTAAGCAAATGCTTTGCTGATAGGATGTGTAATGCCTTTTAAAAAGGAATACTTAGAGCATTGTTTTGTTAGCAACACTTCTACATCATGGAAGTGTGCAAATTTTCTTTTGAAGTTTTTTAATAAAACAGTAGCATAGCAAAAACTTTAAAAAAAAAAAAAAAAAAGGAAAAGAAAAGATGAACTTCACTTGCTACACTGATTTTAATGTGTATTGAAATTAACGTTTTTTAAAGATAAGGTTAGATTGATAAACAGTACTCAGTACTTTTAAAAAACCTTCTTGTCTTCATTGAAGACAAGAACAATACACTTTGTTATACCAGCTCAGCTAGTAACTGGTAAATATGAACATTGTATTTTTTGGTAGATAGCTTTAATAAATGCCCTTTTCTTTTTTAATTGTGAAGTAAATTGCCTCAGTGTTCATTCCAGTGTTCTTACTTGCATCTGTAAGAACAAATATGCTATTTTGGTATTATTTGGTTTCTGCTACTACTGTGTTACATTTTGAAGGGCTTATTTGGTCTGATAAAGTTGAAAGGGAACACAACTTTTCTTTAGTAGTCCTGCCTTAAATTATACTAAAAGTTTCTTTCCAAATCATGACTTAACCGTAGGAGTTCTGTTTTGTCTATCTCTGAATAAGTAAACCCAGCAAGTCTTAATTTTCAAGTTGGCTTTTTCTATTTCCAGCTGCATACTCAGTTCTCCTAAAACATTTTTGAGTAAGAGAGCTTTTTAGCATGCCTAGACAAAATCAGGATAAACAAATCAGACTGATGAGCAAACAAGTTCCAAAGCTTTGAGGTATCTTTGTGTGAATCGTGTTCTCATTGATCCCTGCTTGGTACCTCTTCAGATTCTAACTGACAGATGGCACAAGAAGGAGGTGTTAGTTTGGGGACGTATGAATTGTAGTCAATGGTAGGTGGCTGAACTGCCAAATCTGCAGATTCATGAAAGGTCAAAGAAGATGGTGTGATAGGCTTACTATGTAATGCTGAATGAGCTGCCTGCTGCTCCTTGCTCTGGTATTGACTTTTGTGTGTGTTCAGTGTGTGATGTCAGAATTACTTGAGCTGATGAACGGTTGGATATGCTTTGGTTATCTCCATCTGAAATCAGTATTTCCTTTCTCCTGATGATGATAATAGATGAAAATGTTAATTCTCTTCATTTCTTCTACTTAGTCCAGTAACAAGCTTGGTTATTACATAGCAAAGCGTGTGTGTCTGACTCGATCTTACTTAGCAATTCAGGTTGGTGTTAAGGTTGAAAGGAAAGAATGGACTGAAGTATAGAGTTGTTGAAAGGGTTTTCTTTGTTGTTTTTCAGCAATAATCATTGGCCCCGATGGTCATCCACTGACAGTTTATCCCTGCATGATTTGTGGAAAGAAATTTAAATCTAGAGGTTTCTTGAAAAGGCACATGAAAAACCACCCAGAGCACCTTCTTACTAAGAAAAAGTACAGATGCACAGACTGCGATTACACTACGAATAAAAAAATAAGTTTACATAACCACTTGGAGAGTCATAAGCTGACCAACAAAACAGAAAAGCTTATTGAGCGTGATGAGTGTGGGAAAAGCTTCTCTCACGCGGGAGCGTTATTTGCGCACAAGATGGTGCACAGGGACAAAGGAGTGAATAAAATGCACAAGTGCAAATTCTGCGACTATGAGACAGCAGAACAAGGATTGCTAAGTCATCACCTTTTAGCTGTTCACAGCAAGAACTTTCCTCATATTTGCGTGGAGTGTGGCAAGGGATTTCGTCATCCGTCGGAGCTGAAGAAGCACATGCGAATCCACACTGGTGAGAAACCCTACCAGTGCCAATATTGCGAATACCGATCTGCCGACTCTTCTAACTTGAAAACTCATGTAAAGACTAAACATAGCAAGGAAACGTCGTCCAAGTGTGATATTTGTTTCCAGACTTTTTCAGATACCAAAGAGCTACAGCAGCATACACTTATGCATCAAGAGAGCAAAACACATCAGTGTTTGCATTGTGACCATAAGAGCTCAAACTCGAGTGATCTGAAACGACATATAATTTCAGTCCACACAAAAGACTATCCCCATAAGTGTGATATGTGTGATAAAGGCTTTCACCGGCCTTCGGAACTGAAAAAACACGTGGCGGCTCACAAGGGTAAAAAATTACACCAGTGCAGACATTGTGACTTTAAGATTGCGGATCCGTTTATTCTGAGTCGCCACATACTCTCAGTTCACACAAAGGATCTTCCATTCAGGTGCAAGAGATGTAGGAAGGGCTTTAGGCAACAAAATGAGCTGAAAAAACACATGAAAACACACAGTGGCAGGAAAGTTTATCAATGTGAGTACTGTGAGTATAGCACTACAGACGCCTCAGGCTTCAAACGGCATGTTATTTCCATTCATACAAAAGACTACCCTCACCGATGTGAGTATTGCAAGAAGGGTTTCCGAAGGCCTTCAGAGAAGAACCAGCACATTATGCGGCATCATAAAGATGTTGGGCTGCCTTAAAGTCTCTTTCACAGACTTATGGCTGGAATTGCAAAGGAATTTTGCCTTTCGGGCAGTTAGCTTATTTTAAAGCCAATCACCTGCAATCACACACACACACATGGAAAAAAAAAAAAAAACAACAAAAAAATACCCCCATACTGTGCATTTGATTTGTTGCTGTATAAAAATAGGATTATTGCTTCTAGTTGACTTTTATACCTTTTGTTCAATAGCGTGTTCTGAATTCTATTCAGTTTGTTTAATAAATGAAGAAAAGATGGCAACAATAAAGTTGCATTTAATAAAGTAAACCCTGTCTCTTAATGAATTTTTCAGCCGTAATAGTTTAAGTATATTTATCTTACTGACCTCGTTGATACTCACAGTGTCCATGTTAATGCAGTTCTGTTGTGAATTTTAAAACTATGAAATTTCTCTTGCTGAAATTGTCAGAGGTGTGTATGAAATGGGGAATTGTAATGCTAAAGTCACTAGGGCCCACCTGATTGTCTTGTTCTGACTATACAGACTTTGTGGCAAGTTAACTGTGTTACCTTTAAGGAGTTACACGTCTCACTTTATTGCGGGAAAACTTCTGCGTTTTAATTCAGGTTTCAAAGATAAGATTTTAAAATGGTTTGGGGCATTTTTTTTTTTTTAATCTTTGACAAATTTAGAAGTATGCTCAAACATGCTTATTGTTCTGTGCTTCTTTGTCTTGGAAAGGTTTTGCGTGTTACAGAGTTGTTGTTTTTTCCTTTCAGTTTACTGCTGGCTTGGTATAGGAAACATGACATACTGTTGTTCCATTTGCAGAGTTAATAGGTCGCAACTGTCTGTACGTGCCGGTAAATGTACCTCAGTTGTAATGGTTTTCTGTATATTAGCATTTCTTTGGAAGAACAGTGTGTTGTTTGAGTCACATTTCTATTCTGAGTTGACTTAGAATAAAATTTAAGACCAAGAGGTGCCTCGATTTTGGACATGAGATGCTGACATTGAGAGCTTCAGAGGGTCGGAACAGGGCAGTCGCGTTCATAAGGAGTAGAGGTGTTTTCATGTAGCTGTCCTTCATCAGAACAGTAACTTAGGATAGTAGCAGAACTGTTTCTAAATTGAATGTTTTTCCTGAGCCATTAGCAGCTGTGTTGAGCTGCTGCTTATTAATGAGTACAGCATCCAGAATTAACCCAGTTCTTGTAATCTGTTTATAAACAGCTGGGAGAACATTACAATTATTATATGCAGTTTTGCCACCTGAAGACTATTACAAAGCAGTGCTGTATCATTTGCTAATTGCAGAGTAAATAAGTGTACAAAGTGTGAAGTCATGTACGTTAACAACAACTGTTGGGCAGAAATAGAAAAAAAGATTTCATTATATGTCAGATCTTAGGGCCCAGACCCGCTCCCCTTTCTCAGATCCCCCCTGAAGTTGCCAGCTGGCTGTGCATTGCAGAATTTGGACCCGATTTGGATAGATTTGGAACCAACCATTCACTAACGGCAAAGATTCAAAGCCCATCCCAGTGCTTTCCCTTGTTTGTAGGCAGGTGAACGTCCTGTTAAACAGGAATTTCAGTAACCCTTTCAATTTTGGGGCCATAAAGGGACAAAGGTTTCCTCTCAGATGTGCACCTTCTAAACATTCTGTATTTGGTTTTGTTACCAAATCCTTGTGTTTCACCGTAAGCTTCAGTAGTTGTGTTTATTTCGCTGGTTCAGGAGAGCCTAAAGCCCCGTCCCTGCCTTGTACAATGCTGCTGCTTTGGATGCTGCCTGCCAGTGCCCCCAGGCTTGTGCCGTGCGTAGCCCTGCCAGCGGCTGGCCGTCACCTCAGTGCGTAGCGCTGCTCTGCGCCTTGGCTGAAATCCCCGCTGCAGTCAGTGGATGTTGTGTGTGGCCGTAGCTGTCCGCCTGCCGCCTACAGATTGCCAAATCAGATGTGTTAAAACACAGTGGAGGTTCTTCACGCGCGTCTTACGGAGTTCCCTTCTTTGGTTTGTTTCCCCCCCTTACGTTTTCTAACTGGAAACCTGAGAAGTGTACAAAATCTGCATAAATTCCCATAGGATTTTAGCCATTTTTGACTTTAATTTTTTTAAATAAGCTGAAAGACAAAGAACACAATTTTACACATTTGCTTTCTCTTACGTAGCCTGGAATCATACACACATTTTTTTTTTTTTTTTTTAAAGCACAATGTTGAAACTTTTTTTTTTAATAATTGAGGGTTTGGTCAAGTGGATTTTGTAAAATGTATTTGTCTGTATAAAGAGAAAATGAAAATATAGTTATTGTTAATGTACTGACATTAGTTACAGGTTAGTTTTAATTCTTAAATAATTTGCTTAGCAAATGCTATGAATGGATGTTTCAGTTTAATGTTTAAAAAGGTACAGATTTTTACAAGGACATAATATAAATTATTGTTCTGTAGAAAATACCCTGTTAAATATTGTATACGTCCTTCCCTCTGTACACTTTGTAAAAAAGACAAAAGAAAAAAACAAAGTACATAGAATCATATAGGGATGTGTGACATTATTGTAACTGTGTACTTGATAATAACGTGAAAAAATAAAATTCAAAGTATTTTCCTGTTAACGAATGTTCTGTCTATTTGATGCCAGTACCGAGACTGAGTGTTCTGAGGGGTGTGTTCCTCTTGAGACCTAATGCACTTCAGCCTGGTTCTCCACTCCTCATTTCTTCAGCTCATTTTAGCTGTTAATGGGATGCGACTGATGGAATCCCTCGTTTGATGCAACGCGCTTACAAGCAGTCTATGAAAGCAAAAGAAGTAGACCATAGGTCTTCAAAATCCATCTTGGTGTCTGTTTTTATACAGAAGGTTTAATGTCTGTCAAACTTCTTGCAATGCCTTAATCTTTTTCAGTGAGGTGGCAACTTCTTAAGTGCTACTACACTGTCTGCCCCCCTAGAAAGCAAACCTTGAGCCCAATGAGGTGTACCACTGCCACTGACATTAATAAGCTTTCCCAGTGCCTCATCTTCCAGCAGACACTGGGGCAGGAGCTGGTGGCTCCTGTTGGCACTCTCTCCCTTGCCTTCTGCCAAAGCTTCTGACTGGCTGTCTGTTCTGCTGCCTGTGCCCTGGTTCTTCAGCCCGCTGCTGCTTAGTGCTGCCACTGGTAGCAGAGATGGAGAGGGCTTGTGGCTGCTGAAATGGGTCCTCCCACTGCTCTGTCAGTGCTTAAGCTCAATTGAATTAAACAGTGTAACCTGATGGCATCCAACTGCCCCCATTAACCCGATCGCAGAGCTGCTGCGGAGTGCCGCTGCCCTCTTGACCTGTGTGAAACAGGAGGAGGTGAAGTGTGGCTGCTAGCTGGCCCAGGTGCCCTCAGGATGTGTTTGCTCTATCTCGTACCTTGAGGAAATGTTTGCTTGTTCACTCCTGGTCTTGGTATGTTGTACAGCGAGGCTTGCATGGAGTGGCTCTTCATATTACGAAGCTGTGGCTCAGCTGCCAACCATCTGCTTTTTCTATTTTCTCTATCCTCCTCAGCCACTTATCATGGAGCCAGCAACACTCAGGGCACTGCAGAATGCACTCATTTGTGGCTGCTGGGAGTTAGAGGCAGGAGCAGTTGCTGCTTCTCCCACATGTGGACTGGCAAACCCTTCCCTCCTTGCATTCGTTCAGCCATAAGAGCTTTGCTGCTTGGCGGCCAGCCCACTGGAGCTCCCCTGGGCGAGGTGCCCACAGCCACACCAGCAGCAGGGCAGGCAGGTGCCAATCAGGGCTTCCTTGAAAGCCTTACTTGACATTGGAAAGCCTAATTAGGAAAACTCTAAGCCAGCTGACAGGTCACTGTGTTTCACTGGCTTATTAAGGGTAGTAATTCAAATGAAATGATATATAATTAATAGGAAACAATATGTAAACAATTACGATGGGTGGAGAACTGGTGAAGGTGTGGCTGAGTGGATGTCAGGGGCAGCAATGGGACAGCAGCATGATCTGGAGTGAGGAACTGGAGTCACAGGTGCCTCACGCTCAGAGCAGGTCAGGGACCACGCAGCGTACCGCTATTTGAGGCATTCACTGGAGTTACAGAGGAACTCTGTGCATCTGGAAAAGCATTACCACTGAACTGAAGGCAAAACTTGGTATGCCATCTTGGCACGAGCGTAGGCAAAAAGAGGCAGTAACATGGCCCCCGTTTCTCTCTTGCACTGGCATGAATGGAGAACATTGTTAAGGCTGGTACCGCCAAAGCAGCATTAGGAAAACCGGGGCATGTTACATCTGACACAGCCCAGGAACACAAGGAATGTGAGGGCTGCATCCATCCAACACAGTGAATCACTCCGTGCAGTCACACACAGGTGTGGAAGCTGGGTGGTGCAGCAGGCCAAGTGATCAGCGGAAGCAGAGAGATGAAAGAAATACATGAAACTGAGGATATTTATGCATATTTATATTTTTACTTTAAAACATAATAATGGTATAATTAATACCACTTTGCATATTGATCGGGACCTGCTACCAGAGCACTTTTCCTCAGCTGTTAGCCCACTCATTCAACAGCATTGCCCTCTGCCAAGGAGCAGTTTCTGTCCGCTGGCAGCAACGCTGATACACGACCAGGCAGCCCCACTGAGCTCCTTTCCAGCAGCACCCGAAGCAGTCACCTCACTGGGCAGCTCAACAATAGCACAACAAAGCTAAGCTGTGCACGGGAAATACATCAATCTGCACTGCAGCACAACAGAGCTTTACGCTGCCCAGTGTATGCCTTGTGAACAGCAGCAAGCCAGTGCTGTCTTCCCTATGAACACAGACCAAGGCCTGCCTCGTAATTTGGGGCCTCCTGATGGCTGCTCCCCTGCTGCGGCGGAGCTGTGGGGCCAGCAGGAGGACTGGGACAGTGGGAACGCTGAGCAGAAGCCCTGTTTCACTAGATGTCCCTTTGTAGATCTGAGAGCTTCTGAAATGAGCTGCAGGCAAGTGAATATGACACAAGGACCTGCTTGGGCACTGGCAGGGATAAGTCAAGATTTCTTTCCTGCTGCAGGAAAATGAGAAGACAGTGGATAGGAAGGGGAAATCAGCAATTAGGCATCAGCTGCAGTGTGTTTCCTAGTACAAGAGACATGTTCTGAAAAGAACATCCCCACTCTCCAGTGAGGGGAAGGGTGTGTTTCTTCATCTCTGCATAAAATGCATGCAAGTGAGAGAAGCCAGATGTCCCCTGGAACACACACACTCCCATGAAACACATCGGTGTCTGAGGTACAAAATATTTGGCAAGTCATCTGTTTGGAGTGTCACATAGCTTGC